TTGCTTGTATTTGGACAGCTAGAAGTTTCTGAAAGGGTCTCCTATCACCTAGACCTTCGGCACTCTATGTTTCTCAATGTCAAGTAAGAACTACTACTGTCACCCTTCAAAGAGACCTTCCACCTGTACTGGGCTCTCCTCTTCGCCTAAAACAAGCGTTCAGTGACGCTTCCAACCCATGTTCTTCTGTTTCTGGGTGTGTGGTGTGACTGAGGTACACTGCTAAAGACAGCATTCTGAATGATGTCTATCAGTTTGCCAGTGATCATCTACTGTCATCTTCCCCATTACCATGGCCATGGAGCGTGCAGAAGGTTCTCTCTTGCGCGCGTGTATTTCGCCCTAGTGTAGGAAAAATAGGGCTCGTTTTCTTTCTGCATGAGTTTTTCGTCTATGACCATAATCAACAAGAATGTGCCATGGTCACTGTAGAATACTTTTTGGAAGGCTTTGTTTGGGAAAAATCCTTCCATGTATACATTTATTACATGTTTCTACTGACTCTTTCTGTTATACATTTTGGTGGTCTGTCTAGTCCCATTTTAGGATGTTAATATTTGTATTTTATTATAGTTTCTATTTTGTGTACCCTTTTTGAGTTTCTTCCTAAACTGTATGTTGTTTATGCTGGCACTTGCAGCCATTTCGAATTTTGATTATCGGGCGCTGGATACATTTATCTGGACTGGAAGGGTGCAATTTGAATCGAAATTTGGAGCCCCTTCCAGAACTGGAAACGCTTTGTGTTATTACGGAAGGAATAAGGTGTAATATTTCTTAGGAAATAAACTGTACTTGTTTTTATGATTAATAACAGAACCGTTACTTACTTAGATAAATTGCTTTCTTTTTGGACTAACTGGGCAAAGCGCGTATCTAAACTTCCTGAACCGTTATTCCTAAATCCAAACCTCATTTAGCTTTTACAGTCACTACTTCCTATAGTTGTAAGGACGTGAACATCGTCGGCCAGGAGCTGATCATTTGTTAACAAATAATCCGGGTTTGAGGATTGTCGCTCCTTAGTCCATCTAGTGGCACTTAATAGATGCCCTCTCTGCCCAGAGCCTCTAATGGCTGCACCAAGTTGTCTTTAGAATCAACCAGTCGTGGTTGTACCCTGATTGCTGAGATTTGGAGATGGAATGTTTAAATTTCCAGGTAAGAATATATGATCAAACCCAGGGAGTGGCAGTTATAGTATTGCCTCAATCATTTTATTTGTTGGGCCTTAGTAACTGAGGGGGCAAGTTAATCCTTGCAATCAATTATTTCGTGCCATTTGTGTGGGAACAACACCAACATGATTCTGTCACCTTAGTTAGTTGGGTTTCGTGTGGTCTCTTGGCTTTTAAATGGCTGCTAATACATGTAGCCACTCCGCCTCCTTTCTAGTGCACCCTATCGCTTTGGAAGAGTGTTATGTCTTGCAAGCTCACTTCATCGTCTGCAACGTCAGGGGATAGCCATGTTTAGGGTAGGACTATGATCTTCAGATTCATCTTAGAGAACATATTCCTGATTTCGAACAGCTTACCCCATAGTCCCCTTACGTTGCCATGGGGTTGCTTTGTGATTTTTCCCATCACCTAGTACATCAACAGCCACCGTCGAATTTGCAAACAAGTTGTTCAGACAGAGTTGGACAGTTCTGTGAGAAATTGCCTCTTCAGGTTTTTTGCCTGTGAAGTACTTTCAATCAGCGAGACTACTGATTTCGTGTCTTCCACCGAGGGTTGTTGATCGAGGTCAAATGTCATTTTCGAACGTTTGTTTTGGCCGCCTCGCTGTTGTCTGACAAATCTAGAGCGGCTTTCGCAACACCTTATGTGGCTAGACAGATAGTTCTTCGAGCTGTGCCAAGCAAGAAGAGCCTAAGTTAGGTCTTCCTGATTTCTGAAATCCCCAGTCATTAGACGTGGTGTGAGGGGGGAGGCGGCCGGGAAACGCAAATTGCCATTGTGGTGTGAAGGCCCGGGATATGTGATGACCATGGCCACTGCTGCAGATTATTCACGTTGGCTTCATCCAAGCTACCACTATCCAGCTCGGTCATTCCGTGTACTACCATACTGGTTTGCTGTTGGGTGCCTTGTGATATACTGGCTGCCGCCCACAGTGACCACGTTTTGTCGTGCCTGATGTGGATCGAGGAGGACAATTTAACCGATGGTCTCTTAGATGAGTGGAGGATGTCTTCCGCAAGTTGTGCCGAGTCTAGTGTTACTCTGATTGGAGGGGGTTTCCCATTCGAGATGTTCTGGACTTTGAAAAGCCCACATATTTTTGCCAGGGTATTGCTCATTTCGAGGATCGCTCAGTAATTATCCCATTGTTTATCAGAGACATCGCTATCTTCTAGTAAGCTACCCTCCGACACTGAACAATGTTCAACGTCTCCGTCTGTGATTGGTGGCAGTTCTTGAGTTCAGGTATTGCCATTTTCTTTCTTCATACTCACTCAATGTTCTGTACTGGTAACAGATACTCGGGGTTTAACAACAACTGGCAGTTTTGTCGATATGTTGTTCTGATTTTTGACCGCTTCCGTCACCTGCTTCACTGTTTTTGGGCCGGGTGATTTAGATTTACAGTTGTAACTTCTGAGCTGATTTTGATTGAGGTCTCTGGCTTCGACAATGCCTAAGCTACTCTGCACTGTGTAAAGGTACACCAGAACCACGGACAGGGGTGACTCAACATGAACTCATAGTACGCTCTAGGTACGGTAGTGTCGCAATGACAATAGACTGATGTTCTTCAGAAGTTGCAGTCAAAAGCAGAGTCACTGATTGTGAATGGCCTTGAGCAGGCGATGTAATTATCCTTCCGCGATTTCTGGGCGACAGACTGTGTCGACTGAACTCTAGGACGCCTTTTCCTCCCATTCTTATTTTGTCTACTGATCTTTTTACGAGTAGGAATCTGAGGAGTACGGTCTTAGATTCCCTATTTGGGCACGAGTAGAGGTGTTTGTGTCGAGTAATCCAAATTATGAACACTACTACGACAATCGCTGTCGAGTGACGCTTTGAGTTTTTTCACAACCCTGTTGCTCGAGACTGGCATTTTGCACTCACTAGTGACCCCGGATTTCATACAGATTTTTCTGATTGTTATCGTGTAACAAGTGGTAGTAACCTTATTACTAAACAGGATACATGAGAGATTTAAAGGTGAAAAACGTGATAATTAAAAGAGTAAAATACGTGAAACTGGAGCTGTGGAAGGAGGAATTTAGTAATATATAAGGATGACAACGAAAGTTTCAAACCTAAAAGTACCCCAAAATTACAACTTTACCTTTGACCGTCCTAGTTAGCAACTTCACGCTGATCTAGTATCTTGTTCACAAGTCTCGTGTTTGCGAGTGAATAAATTTGTGTATGCTTTCAAAGCGACTAGGAAGTGGGCAGCTGATCGAGACAGATAGACTTACCACACAGTGGTTCTGGATTGAAACCATTCTGTCTCCCCAAAATTGTGTTCAGATTGTCAACCAGTGAATGGGAACAAAATTTACATCTTTGGGAGTGATTATATATTATGACCCAGTGTGCTTAAGTGGATTTTTTTCAGTATTTGAAAGGAAGTGAAGGAGGTGATAGGCTGTCTCTTCAGGAGGATCCCACACGACTTCGTTTTGGCAACTGGAAGTGCATAGTGGTCCACCTGAGACACGCCTCAGACTACGCATATGATGAATCGAAAAGCGTGTAGCAGTCTTGACACTCTATGATCTGGAGTCATACATCAAATGTGACAAAAATGCATTTCCGTTGAACCTTACACTGATGACGCTGAGGCGAATATTTTACAAGTTTGATTGTAGAACGTTTCACCTATTCATTAACAGCTATATTCAGCCCACTTGAAATATGAGAGTGGAGTGTTTCGGCCCTCATTCCAAAGGACGAGAATACACTTGAACACTTCCAAAGACGATCCCTGAAATCAGTTCTAAAACTCAAACTCAAATCTTGTGAAGAGCGCATTAAACCATTTGATCCTTACCCGTCAGAATTTAAACATCTCTAAAGTGACCTAGTGAATTGAAGTCTTTCTATAGCGCTGAAATATTCATATTTATTGTTCAGAAATGTCGCGTTAATGAACAAGCTAGTCCATATATCTACCAATATGCAGCGGGTGAATGTGAATCCACGAACACACTGATGATCTGAATATTTCTTGTAAAAGCAATTCTAAGAAGCTTTGTATTCGATCAACCAAATTATTCCAGGCATTTCTAGATAGAGTGTGTTCATTTCGCTTGACTCAAAAACAACGTCATCATGCATAGACATCGAGAAAAAGTACCTTAAATTAGTGACATCACAGTCACGTTTCGATATTCCGTATAAAATATGAAAGATTTGTCCAATCGACCAGTTAGTGTCACTTGATTTATCCACTTACTGCAAGAATATTGCATTCCGTCTGAGGCAAATGACATGGCTGTCATCGCAGCCATATGACGAGTGTTCAGTTAAATTAGACCTATTTCCTTAATCATAAGTGGGGACTAGAGGTTACTTAACTACAGTTTTCATAAAATAACCTATGACAAATTCGCCTCTGACGTATCTCTATTTCTACGACCTTCAAAATCGGAGAATTTGAGAACACACTCTTATAAAGTTCACATACTCCTAACGGATCACTTTTCTACAGACTAACGAATTTTTAAGGAATAGATATCTTTATTTAAAATCGTGATTGATAATCTACCGGTAATCGCATTCAAAAGAAAGCTGGATAAATTAAGTGACCAAATGTGCAAGGACTAATACAGAGCACCCAGACTGCAGTCTTCGTGAAACGTAGTGTTCGTTCATTAATCCCTGCCAACACACCATAATTAGTGCAGTCAAGTGGCTAGATTACCTTCCACTGAACATTATCAAATACTTAGAACCATATCGAGACAAAAGGAAGCTAGCGCAAAAATCAATTGTTTTAATTTTCTAATGAAAAAAATATTGATCATTGGAAGACTGCTGTGAGATGAGACTGTCAAGGTTGCTGAAACGAAATAGAGGTTACTTTAATCCCAGGCTGGCTTAGCCCACTGAGCCATGTCCACATCAGAAGATGACTCTACTTCGGATGAAGAATATGTTCCTCCAGGTAAATTAAGTTGGTGGGGTCGATTTTAAATATTCAGTTAAAGCCTCCAAATTAGAAAACTCTGAAAGCGAATACAGCGAGGACTCAGGATCAGGAAACTCAGACTGTGATAGTGGTAAAAGCATTCCCTCTCTATATCTGCTCTTAGATAGTTCTAGCAGCCGGGCAAATAAAAAAACTCTTGCTAAGAGGTATGAACACTATTCAATTATGATTTAATCACCAGTTGATTATCTAGGAACTTGAAAGATCAATCCAAGGTTTGCTTATTGCTGTCAGTAGTTGTGAATTTTTAGATTTCTAATTGTCCACTACTGTCAACAGCTGAAGATAAGAAAGCTTACGAAGATAAATTATGGGACGAGTTTCTGAAGTCCGATAGTACCAAGAAATCTGTAAGCACAATTTTATACGAGTAACACGTAGTGAAGGATAGCACCGAGAAAGTAAATGTTGTGAAAAAATATCAGTTTGCTGGAGAAGAAGTTGAGTAAGTTCATATACTTATATCATGTACCGTAAATCACTTTTTGCCTTGTCGTCTTCACTTTTACATGCATTTATTCACAAGTGCCCTTGTTGGTGTCGCGCCTTTCATCCGCATGTTAATAGCCATGACTTAAATCCAAAGTTATTTTTAGAACGTAGTGCATAAGGTTTATCTGTAGTATAGACATTTCATCCTAGAAAGTGAGATAAGGCATTAGTCTCCTAGTTCGCTCTCTCTGATAGCTGTATGAAATAAAAGTTTACAGCGATTACCACGCTTTATTGAGATCATAGATCGACCAACGTAAGTTAGCCGTCAGAAACCTTGAAGCTCTGGATGGTCGTCTCGTCGTAGTATGAGGTTGTGCGTATCCACGACCCCCGTATGCAGGAATTGAATCCATGACCTTCGTTTCCTACACCATTACCAAAAACAATTAGTAAGTTCATGCAATACCATTGATTGATCGAAACTAGACGTTATAACCGTCGGATGCATAAGAGATTAAATGTTCAGACGCGGGACTGGAGGTTCTGCTTGAAGAGGTCAGAGGAGCGCATTGCTGATATGTCCTGTACTGTGACGAAAGGGACGCGCATTGCTTCTAGGTTTTTAACAATTGTCCAACATTGATCGATTTATGACTACAAAACCCTATGATGAGGATAACTACGTCGTTACTGGCATCAAACAGCTAATATTGTCAGTGTCTAAGAGTACCTGCTTAAATGTTAAGGTGATGAATCAACATGCTAGTTGGTTGATTTTTCTATTCATATTAAGCTACCGTTACAAGATGAATCTCATTATAACCATTCTTCGTTTAGATGAAAAGCTGCTATAATATTGCAAGCCATTATTTTTTTTATCCAAATGGTAAGATAATTGGAGTCGCGTGACCTAAACGTTCTGTATTTTGATTAACAACTGCATAATTAAAGGGATTCCCAACATAAGTGTTCTGTGACGTCCAGTTTTACATTACTTAGTACTAATGTTGGCCGATCGGGTAGGAAATAAAACATGTTTAACCTTTCAAGCACTCTAAACATCCATAAACAGGAATGCAAGTTATTCATCTGTTTTATGTTAAACCATTAAAAGTCACAGTTGATATTCTAAAGTCTTACTAGTCAACTCAGCAATGGGACCAAAAGTTGACTAAACCGGCGAAACAAACACTTGCTTATCTATTGTCTGATTTTCCGTGGTCTTATATTCAGGAAATTAGAAGTTAATTCGATGGGAACTATTACCACATACCTAGCAAATGTCGAGGAGCAATCACGTTCTACACTGTTTTGCTTTATTAGATAGATGTCAATGAGGTTAAAATAATCGCTGAAGTCAGTAGCCTGTCCATACACTGACTGACGTCAGATAATAACTACAGGATATTACATTATACTATTGGGAAAGAAATATATTAATTACGCTGCAACTTTAATAGTTATTCCAAATGACTTGTTCCATAAAACTCTCTTTTTCCGAGTTTGTAACTAAAAACATCGACCAAAGTTGATGTCACATTAGTTTTCATTTTAATACTTGTATAATAAACAATAACTTGAAGACCTGATGAAGTAGTAATATTTAGAAAAGACAGTTTACTCACAAAATATGTACATCTAATCCTCAGACCTCCAGTTTCAAAACAAGAACACTATTGAATTTCTTCTTCCATTTGTTTTATTGTCTTCAGAATACTGATCGCTCTACGCATTCCAGTCTTATACTTCTGAGCGACACTCCGCTGCATACTACTTACCGAATTATCAGTACCTTCCAGTCGCCACGGGTATATTCGCCCCAAGTTCTATGTTGAATATGGTCGACAGATTCCATAAAGTATATGATCAGTTACTACTTGTTAATTGCAATCTGCTATAAAAGTCTATCTATTTCAAAGACTTTGTTTTAATTCCGTTCGTTGACTTTAGGAATCACTAAAAAATTATTTTCTTATGAACTAAGACCTATCTATCTAATTATATTTGTGGGTAAATCGTGTATGTTATCTATGAAAACAATTTTCTTGTCTTACAGAGTAATTCAAGCAGTTTCAAACACAGAGAATGGAATGAAAAGCTCAAGTGCTTTACAGAATCAGAGTAAGACTTCAAGTCAGACAACAAATTCGCTGAAGTCAAAGTAAGTTTTGTTCAAAACAGTTACTTAGTTGATGTGGTACAATGAATAATCTCTTAAAAGAAACCAAGCTTATAAATAAAGAGCAATAACTTCATGAAAACTGCATGGTTATTTCACACATGATGACGTACTCCCTTGTTTCCTTTGGTGAATTTTTTATTATAATTAGTATCAGTAGCACTTTCTCACCTACTACTTCAAACTGACCTGAATAAGTGGACAAAGCTGTGTACACCACAGACCACTTCGTACCCATCTCTGTTTACTTTACTGAACGTATTAGTAGCTTCTGTTGCACGCGTATTTTACGATCTATAGTATTTACATCTCTGTAAATAAAACATTTCCACTTGTTTTGGAACATGTCGATGATAATATATTGGCAATTGTAGTAAAATAGTTATCGTTACCTACAATTTTTTAAACTATATGGAAACCAGGTGGCAGATATACTCACCAAACTTAAACTACCATGCGGAGACAGTGATTTCCTCCTGCCGTAGTTATTTACACTTACGGTATTAAAGGTGATCAGTAAAGTTTGGCTGCGATTTCAGCAGTGAGTTCTTCCCGACAAACGCTATCTCTTCGTACATTTTACAGAACCAATGACTACATTCTTCGTTGAACTGCTTAACAGCTGCAAATTTAATAGCATATAACCCAAGTTGACCAGCTTACTTGCTGTAATTATTAAGCATGTTCGTGTTCTGGGTCGTATCTTTCGCTATGATTTTCAAAACACAGCACCGAAATAAGTCATATCTTGTATTAATTTGATAATGTACATCAATTTACAAATTTTTTTTAGAGCACCGCCTCTGGGACATGGTTTGTCTAACGCTCTACAAAACTTAAAATCTACGGTAAATAGCCTACCAAAATTATCTACCTTAGTAAGTCCCGAAAATTTTAATGATTATTTGTTACGTCGTACCAATTTTTTTTGTAACTAGAAATCGTATTGTTTCATAAAGCATTAAGAAGAGTTCAAAAGACGCGAATTTTTTGAATACAGTTTTGCAGTAGTAGTTCTCGCAAGGTTACAGGATTTCCCTTGTAGAGTAATGGCTCAGTGGTTAATGTGTGTGATTTCACCGGTTTAGGGAGCCAGGGTAGTATAACTAAGACTCGAATGTAGAGTTGGGCTTAAAGTCAAGTACACTAGTTTGTTCCTGTTAAATGAGTGATTAGATAAATAAGACCTCACAATGCTTAGGTGCATTTGGATGTTCCTTGATAAACACAACTGCATTTTATTAAGGCTAGCATAATAATGGAGCTGTGAATCAAGTCTGGGAAATTTCAGGCATACAGTTAGTTATCTTGACTTTCTTTTAAACAAAAATAATTATTGCCGGTGAATGTTAAAACTTATTTTTACTAAAATCACAGGAAAAGTCGCGCCTCGACTGGAAACAATATGTACAAAAAGAATCGTTAGAAGACGACCTCAAAGCTCACAACAAAGGAAAAGAAGGGTAAGATTAAAATACTATATATGCATGTACACGTTTTGCAAATAGTCAGTACAGTGTGTCCGGAATTTAAAGTTATAGCCTAATGTTTACCAATCGTATTGAAGAGTAGAGTAGTTTGAGTACCCTTGACAGTCAAATGAAAAAATAAAACCCATACTTCTTAAATTTCAAGTAGGTTTTACGCAAACTGATTGAGTAAGTTTGCATGATAACCAGTTGCCTCCAGTAAGAAAAGTAGTTCTAAGAAATAGGCATCTGCTCATCACTCTCATGGACACAAGATATTGACTAGTATAATGAAATATGAATACTTATCAAACAATAATTGTGAACTGACACAACAACACTAATTCACGTTCCATTCCGAAGGATGGAGAATCGGAACTACTGCCATAGGAAACAAGCATCCATCGAAATATATATTAGATGAGACTAGTTGTAAGTCTTCTTCCTAATTTTAAAGCTTCCACTCCAGAATCAAAGCTACCCATCATCGATGAGTAATACCCATTGTTGTCGCTAATCATCGTTTTTCCAAATTTCACAACCGAACAATAAATTTGATTATTAATAAAGCCTTTAATTGTGGGTTTTTGCCGTGTTTTTTTTTACTGAAAAATAGTTATCTAGAAAAGCAAGCATTCTTCAACAGAGCAAGTGAACGCGAATATCAGTATGAACAAGGATTGAAGAAGTCAGCATCGAATCGAAGAACCTAAATACGGCTATGTTTACGATTCGTCTCTTAACACACCAAGTACAATAGTTATCGAATATGGTCATCTATCACGAATGACCCGTCCAATATTTGTGCGAATACAGTACCGTATCTCGGTGTACTCTTGTGTGAAGCAAATAGTTGTGGTTAATTGTTACTAAGAATAAAAAAATTCCAATTGCTTACTACGATTTCATTACTTTATTATTTGAACATAAAGATCTATTCAAGCCGTTCGAAAGTATAGTGATTCTTCTCGTCCTCTGCCCATGGATACTGTTTTGCTTTCTATATAAAAAAAGAGATAAGAAATAGTAAATGTTTTTCATAACCAGTTCGGTAAATAAGTCAGTTACAACGTAGAACTTCGTACGTACACTTCGTATCCTAACGACAGCTTTGCTTACTCGGTCGTCCCATGACACACGAGCGATGCTCCTAAGACATTTGTGATCGAATGCTAGTACCCTACGAATATCTTCTACTCCGACTCACCACAGAGTAGAACGGAGAGAACTGCTGCGCAGTAGACTCGTCCTTTGGTTAGCAAACAGATATTTCGCCTACGCCATGAGTAACGCGTGTTGGCGAAAGCCAATCGAGCTTTCTGTACCCGTGCTGAGATTTCGTCAGTCGCCAGGCCATCGGCACTGATGAGACTCTTGAGATAAGTGAAGCGGTCTACACACTCAACTACTTCACTCCCTATCACTAGTTCAGGTGCCAACAAAAGACAATCTGGAAGCAAAGCTTCTGCATCGCATCCTGAACATGACTGCATTGTTGCTTGTGGTAGTCAGAAGACTCTGCATTTTGTCAGCGTCTTCACCAGATAGAACGATGTCATCGGTGTATCCTACTAAGTCAACTAGGGCGTTCCCTGGAAGAAGGTCCAGCCCTGAAAAGTCAGGGCTGGAGTCGAATGCCGCTTTGAGGTCAAGAAATACTACTATTTTGGGGCATTTGGACGTTTGTCTATGTTCTAGGACCTAACGTAGTGTGAATATGTGGTCTATATATCCACGTTCAGGTCAAAAACCAGCCTGGTTTTCTCTAGTCTGCTCTTCACGAGCTCTAGTTAGGCGTCGCAGTATTATTGATGCCAATATTTTCGATTCTATATTAGTTAGACTGATTCCTCTGTGATTGACACAAGAGGACTTTTGTCCTTTCTTGTAAATTGGGACAATCAGCGACTGAGACCAGTCAGATGAGATTACGTCTAGTTCTCAAATTCTACTCAAGATATAAGTCAGTCTAGCTGCTAAAACTGGACCACCATCTTTAAAAATTCCAGGGGTGAATCTATCAGGACCTGCTGCTTCAGATTTCCTATAACCTTCTAAACTTCATAAAGACTCGGAGGACTTAGATCAATTTGCCATTCAAGGTGACTGGAGATCGTGGGTAACCGAAGTGTGGCTGAAGGCTAGCTGAAATGATCGCTAAAATGTTCAGCCCGTCGATCCAATCTCCTGGATTGAGAATGAATAATAGTCTCATCCTTTCTTGAAATAGTCTCACAGTCAGCTACCTAATACCGGTTTCCTAGATAAGCCGGAACAAATCTCTGCTGCCTATCGCCGCTGCCTTTTCCAGAGCTCTTGCTTTCGCTACCCACCACTGTTTACAATCATTGCATAGGCTTTTTATCAGCCAGCGTTTCAGTTGATTTCGCTCTTCGTCATGTTCAGAGCTAGGTGGGATGATTCTCCGAGTGTTTATCAGTTTGGTGGATGCTGCTGAGATTCACGGCTTCTTCCTAGCCTTATGGTTTACCTTACTAGTAGATATCACTTCTGTTTCCACGGCTTTTTGGATATCTTTTCAAGCTGCCTAAATTTTTATAGTTGTTCCTTAGCTATGCTGTCATTGAGTAGAACCCGAAGAGGTTTTCTTGCAGTGTTTTTCCTACGTCCGGTTAGCCAAAAACAAATACTCGCTCACACTTGTTCATGGTCTGAATCTAAACATGGGGGTCATCAGGTCAAGAGATGATTTTTCTGCTAGGAATAGGGGTTATATGAGCATAGTTGCAGCAGATGGTCGCCATCATCTGTTCGGTTAGCCGCGATACCATAAGACCCACACAGCTGTCTTGCCTTTTCGCTTAATCTGCCTACTTGAGCATTGAAGTCGCAAGCCACTATTACTGTATCAAAGCGCCCAACGTTTTGGAGGATGTCTGAAAGCTTCCCGTAAACTTCATCTTTTACCTCGTCTGGACTGCAGTCAGTGTGAGCGTGGGCAGATACGACGAAGCGGCAACGGCGAGTGTCCCTATCCTTCCGAGTCCTTACTGTCCCGTTTAGTCGGACAGCGCATAAGCGACTATATACTGGGATCCATCCAGTCTGAGAAAGCTAGTTTTGCCTTAGGATTCAATGCCATACCTACACAAGCGAGGCCATGGGAAGCAGCAGCAGGGCTTTCAGATACACGGAGCGTTAGCCGAGTTGGTTCCTTATTTGGACAAGGTGAATTCAGTTCAATCACTGTATTCGGATCCTGTATGCGCGTTTCGGAGACGCAGCATACATCGATGGCGTGAGATCCTAAAGTCGTAGCTAGGGAAGCCTGTTGCCCTATTCTACACGATGTCCGGACATTAAAATCTCCACCATGTAGTTTAGAACGGGGTTTCAGGAGACCAGGAATAACGTTTCGTGAGCTCACATCGTTTGCATTAGCGGTGCGGGGTGGTAAAGGAACGTGAGAAGGGTTAGTCGTGGAGATAAAAGAGATGTCAGAGTATGGGGAAGATTTGATTAAAACCGATTTGGTCCTGTGTAATGTTACGGGTATGAGGGCGGATGTCACTTCTCGGCTGTCCACACCGTGGAAGGGTGTTTCTTGAATAACCTGAAAAAGAAGTTGGTCTGAGAGACCTGGGAGCGTAACCACAGAGCCCCGGGGACAACTGCTTGAGGCCGGTCACGCACGGCCTTACTCTTCCTGGATTCCGCAATTGGGAACGTCGATTTGCAACTGTTATATCATTATTCTCCTAAGACACCAAAGTTTGAAGTTGTCATCAAAGTTTAAGATTTTAGCCTTACGTTTTGCATGATGCATTATTACAACAACCTATTAGTTATAAAAGCAATAGTGAAGTTTAAGTAGACTGTTAATTCATAATACTTACCAACGGGTAAAAGTAACAATATCTTTGACCGATATACATAAGAAATCCAAGAACAAAAAGTGGGGCAAACGTTTTTAACAGCATATACCACCTTGATTTCACGTGAAGGTTATGAACCACAGCTTACTGTGAGTGGCCATTTAAAATTTCCTTCATTGCTTCGGGATCATATCCAGTAGCTGAATATTTCTGTGCGTTGAATGGCAACGGGTCATTGTAGTATCGTCTTTCGGTTGGGAAATCGTAAGGTTCCCATGGGTCGCAGCTTTTCACGTTATATGGTTCCACATAGAAATAGTCACCAGGTGCTAGACCATCATCTTCAAATGGTTTATAATCAGATGGCAAAAGATTGTAGCGTTTGGCTGCCGCTTCCCGTTCGGCTTTGGTGCAGGGGTACGGTTTCGGCTTCCATTCAATGTGAAAATCTGCAGAAGTTATCAGTTTACAAATGATAATACCAAGGAACAAATAGGAAACGTATGGAAGAAGTGGATGGGTTAACACTAAGTAATATGAAACAGTTCCCAAGGATATTTATTTTCCTTGCATACTGACTGCGTAACAATTACATTACTTACATCCACTGGAAAATTGCTCTAAGTTTTCCGTGCTTTCAATCAGTAATGGGTGTGGTTGAGGTTGTCCAACTTTGCTACTTTTAGTGATCAATAAAATCGTTCATATACTTCTTAAGGAGATACGTGGAAGCTATGTGATTTGCCACTGGATGGAAACGTATACACTGACGGAATGCAATATTGTTGCACTAATTGAATAAACCAAGTGACACTAACTGGTCGATTGGACAAATCTTTCATATTTTATAGGGAATATCGAAACGTGACTGTGATTTCATTAAGTTAAGGTAGTTTTTCTCGATGTCTATGCATGATGACGTTGTTTTTGAGTCCAGTGAAATGACTTGACTATAGCTAGAAATGCCAGGAATGATTTTGGTTGGTCGAATACAGTATTTAGAAGAAATATTCTGACCATTAGTATCACAAAGTATCATGAAAATCAGAATGGTGTAATTCATTTAATCAACAAACTGATATTTATAAAACCGATAATTGTACAGATAATCGGCAGCTTCACTTATCAATGGTGAACACCATGTAATCACTTTGTAGATGCAGTCTGCCTGACAGATTCTACATCCATGAATGCGTTTTGGAAGTTCCCGTGGTCTGTACGTACCGCGAGATCGTGTCACTGAGAGACTAATTTCTCTAAGATGTATACTTCTAATAAAGATAACACAACTGAAAGTCAGTGACTTGAACCGGATTTAGATTTGTCGAAACATTGCAGAAATTAGCCGATCTTTAAAAACCACACACTCTGACCCAAAAGGAAACGTATTTTGACGTCGTGATATTTGCATACAAATAACAGCAATACGGAAACACTCTTTTGGACTCAATGTGTGTGTGTGGTAAACAGGTATATATTTCGCCGAAATACTACATATCGACCTAACAGAAATGACACGTATGCACAATAGCGTTAGGAGATTCACTTTTTTCTGAACCCATTGCATATTAGTAGATATATTCGTTTGCGTGACATTTCTGAACAATGTATATGAATATTCCAACATCATAATTTCCACATTGACGTTTCTGCTTGAGCCACACTATCACAGTACATCTTTGGGGCAGGTTAGGAAAAAATTTACCAATACTGTATACCGTATCGGTTGAAGTTATCAGATTTTGAGAAATAATCGGTTTCGACCTTAAGGGCAATCACCTTCAGTAAAGTTGATGGTAGATGGGAAGTAAAATTACTGCTGTTAAATAGTTTTATTTGTAACTAAAGAGTAGCCATTTCCATGAAGGAACTTACATGCCATACCCCGATATACAGGGGTTGAGAAGCACCCGAAAGACCTAAGAGACAGTAGTCTCATAATTGCAGCGACCTGTTTGGAAATTGCGCAACAGCTTTCAGTGTCCAATACAGTATCGAAGTGTAAGCAAGGAAGAGGAAACAGAGATAATAAGTGAGACATACTAAGTTATTGATCTGAGGAGATGGTAATAGTGACAACCACAAAGTCTGAAGAAATGTACCAGGCACAGCTTGCCCACGAGGAAGGTGATAATCCGTGTGAGAGTATGTGATTATCAATTCTCTTCTTCATTCTGTCTACTGAGGAGGCTGTAGTCACCTCCACTGGGAGAGCATTCCTAGTTGCGACGACTCTCAATGGGGCTAACTAAATATTACCTTTATCAGCGATAAGGACTATACATATAATCCTACTAACACATGCTTATGAAAAACTGAGGATGAATAAAAAATTCTATCTTGAAACTGTCCAAATCGTTGTGAATGGAATAGAAGCTTTCTCTGTAAGGGCTTCCGTATCTAGAATCACTGGATCGCCAAAGCCAACAAGTAGGAACCTTTGTTTATTCAACGAAAAAAAAATTATTGGTAAATTATGATGAAAAACTATCTAAAATCTTCATAATGTGGAGTTTCTTCCTGAGAGACTCACGGAAAGTCACCTGAAGCACATCTTCCGACAACGAATTATAGGATTTGAATACTCATAAAGAGTAGGTGTGTCAACAGTCCATTTTGCTATACTACGACCCCAGCTTCTGCTTATTGTTTACTAATTGAGTGTTGGGAGTGAGAATGAGTAATTATTTTAGGGTTATTTAGGAGTGTTCGGCATGCTATAACTAATCAGGTCACCTCTGAGGCACCTACATTTTGACGGGTAAGGATCCAATGATTTGAGGCGCTCTTCACAATATTTGAGTCTGAGTTCTAGAACTGATTTCATGGATCGCCTTTGAAAGTGTTCAAGTCCTTTGAAATGAGGGCCCAAATACTCCACTCCCATACTTCAGCTGTGGCCAAATAATGCTGGTAATGATCGAGCGGAACATTCTACAATCAAACTTGTAAAATATTCGCCTCAACGTCACCAGTGTAAGGTTCACCCGGAATGCATTTTCGTTACAGTTTCCGTTAGACTTCAGGTCACAGAGTATAAAAATTCCTGGACCTTTTTCTATACGTAGTCTGAAGCGTGCCTCAGGTGGACCACCATGCACTTTGAGTTGCTAAAATGAAGTTATTCACCCAACTTTAAAGTCGTGTCAGATACTCTTGAACAGACTGCCTATCATCTCGGTTGCAAACGTATCTCTAAAGTTCAGTGAGAGTTAATAACTCAAACGATGCTCAATAAGGTAGCTTATTTATCTAGATTAAGAAGTGAAGAGGTTTTAGGGGTAACCTCATTAACCAGTTCTGTCGCCCGAGAAAAATAAACGACAATTGAAGCTAGAGCAACAATTGAGAACGAGAGGTGTGGCTGTTTTACATAATGCAATAGCCACGCATTTAATTGGTACCGGCCACATTATTCGCACCTCCTAACTCTTCAAAATCAATGACAGACAAAACGTAGCAGTGTTTCTTCGGTTTGCTAAGGCAGTAGCAACTAAAACTTGAGTCTGATTTGTGTCCGAAAAAACATGGTAATCACTTTTTCACTACCTTGGTAATTTTTACTTACTTATTAATGACATATTCATTATTGTTATTTTTGCTTGTGTCTGTTTTGCTGTATAATGTTCGCCAAAATGCTTCTTGCTTTATGTACTTAGGAGGCAACTGTTTATCGATTCGTTTCCCGAAACTTACGCATATCCTTTCAAATCTTGCCCACTGATTAAGTAGTCTTTCAATTACTAATTTTAGACAACTCATTCAAAATTTATTTAAACTTTTCATAACTTCTATAATTATTGCACGATCCACCTCATCTGCCTCATGGACTACTTTAACTTTTATTTGAACTCTGTCCTCAGGTGATCTCACGTCTGTTCACGTACAGATACATATATGTAGTTTCGTGTTATCGATTCACGTCACTGTGTTCGCTTCCACCATCAATGCCAGTCGCTTCATAACACACCACTTTTCATTGTCAAACTTTATTACATTCAAGGTTGAAGTCAGCTGAAGGAGAATAGCGAAATGTGACGAATTTAACATATTCGACATCAATCCCTGTAACCGTATTAAAAGTCATAAAGGAAACAACATATATGAACTGTAATGACTCGATTAGTTTAACAGAAACATTTATTATGATAATCAATTGTACCAGTGATTATTTTACTAAACCTCTTTGATTATTACTACTGACAAAATTCTACTCACAAAAAACTGTTACGGGAGGAATGAAGACATTTTGCTGATCAAAACCTCTATATATAAATATCATTAATTTCACTGTTTTTTGGGTACATTTGTTTTACTTAACTTATGAACTTGTTTGAATTATTATTTTCGGCCATTTCGGACTCCTGTTTGTCTTGGTTGTTCGTTTGCAGTTTTTTGCTCCAGAAACCTATAAAATAGAAGGTAATTGTAATTATTATAATTATTGTTGTTAGAATGACATTGGACGTCTATTTGTAATAAACACATTTTGGTCGATTATTGGTGAATCGGTAATAAACTTTGGTATCTACTTTGGAATTTCCTTTTGGTTTAATATTTGGGATCGTGAATTGCAAATAGATGGACAACTGTGCTTCTAAGGATCAAAGAGCAAAAAATTGGACGTAACAATAACTCCACAAACATGTTACGTTTATCTAAAAAACATTTGATTTAACCTGTCAAATATTACATCTGTAACATCCAAATCCGCTACTAAATTCGTTAAAATCAAACGTTGTAAGGACAGTGCTCCGTGCTTATCTTATTCTGATCTTCCTACTGGCTTAATCGAATCTTACCGTGAACCTGAAAACGACATCTTTTTACATTGTATGCCGCTCGTTGATATAAATACAACTAACCTTCTTCCGGGTGACTCGACACCATCCACTACTTCTTGTGTTTTATCCGGAATAGACACCTGTGAGCATTTGTTAGAAAGGGTGGCTGGTCTTAAACACTTGACAAGCCCGCGAGCGGATCAAGTTTACTGCAATCCACAATATGTCTGTAGGCCTTTTCACCATAGGAAATCCAGCACTGTTGATCTGGAATATTCGCTCTCAGATAAATTCATTACCCTGGATGAATTTACGCAGACTGAGCAACCGCAAAACACTTGCAGCAAGTCTGACCACTATCCTATTTACCCTAACAGCTGCAAACTGAACTGCAGTACATTCGACACCAATAACTGTAAGGACACCTTAAGTGAACTCAATGTCAACCAAACCATTCACGATTAACTACCTTACAAATATCTGGTCAGTGTTCCAGAAAATCCTGATCAAAAAACTGAAATGGTAATTGACCATATATCCTCTGAAGTGTTTAAAAGACTTCAGTCCATGCAGAATGCCATTGTTTATAACATACCTGACAGTGCTAGCCTAAAGTCTATTAAAAACACTCCTCAAAGAGTGTGGATTGTCCCAATCTTGGTGTGTAGCACGCAGGCTAGGCAAAGTTCAGACCAAGTTTTCCTGTTCCATTCTTCTTCAATTTAGTACTATCATGGAAGCTAATCACTTCATTAATAGTCAGTCACTACCTAAACACATTCCACTATTTAAGAAGATTAGAATTATCCGTGATAGAACTACAATACAGCGCCGTATAACCAACGGCCTTTCAACTATGCCGACCAATTCGTGCACTAGTAACGACAAGAATCTCGAATGTCACATTAACCCTACAATACCTACCTCCACCCCTCCTAAAATGGAGAACAGATCCAAAGAGACTACTAGTCCAAAGACCTGTCCCATGAATAAGAGTGCTGCAACTTGTCCCGTAATCAAAAGCCCATCTACGTGTAAACCACAAGTCAATCGCACTTCTGTGATACACAAACATTGTCCCGAAGATAATAGGACAGACCTAGTGGTTCGAAATTCTCACATGAAATGTGCCACTCGCCCTAACCGTCAGTCTTCAGCACTTAACCTACCTAATAAACAACAATGCCTGCCCCTTACCTCCCCTACTTGGGACGCTACTATACTAATAAAATTAAACATTTTGTTTGCTTTCGGCTCTTTAGATTGATGAGACGACTAATCAGTAACACTGAGGTTGCTCTTATACGCTTGCTACTTCTGTGGTTCATGTTTCCAAAACTATGCTGAGGTCGCTATTCTGTCGAGACACCTGCAACATTCTTACTCAGGCGCTTACAGTATGACTTAGAGGTTGGCATTCAATAATAAAGAAAAAAAAACAGTTAGACAGTGCGAGATTTTATTCGTCAAATATTTATTTTTACAAACTCTACTCTTTTAACTAGAATTTCGATTTCAACGTACATAAATCCAGCTTCTTACTTCGACTTCTCTTCTATCCACCTGACACTGCACAACTCTCCCTTCTTTTTGCTGTACTCCTTTATCTGTGTGTTATATTCTTATATTCCCATAATTTACTTTAATTTAAGTGGTCAGTATGAATGTTATCTTGACTTACTACTGTATTGACTACTTCAACATGACAGGTTAAGTAGTGCTTTGGTTATATATATACACTTGCCACACTGCTGCCTTTTCCTCTCTCTCTTCTCCTTTTCAGAACCCCATTCACGGTGGGAAAGATTTGGCAACTCTAGGGAACATGCACCCAATGTACATGACTGTCTGGATCACAGCTCGTATCAAGCGCGTTCCATATGACCTTTCCCAACAAATTCACTATTGATCTCGGCCAATCGCCAATAGAACCTATTGTGCACCTTCCTCATTTGTACTCTAATATTGAAAATGTGGCTGTATAATACTGTTTCTGTCAGTGATATGGTGTAAATATGCAATCAGAAACTGTCTCTTATACTTAATTTAACTGCTATAACTTTTACAGTAATTGTAAAAGCATTTGTGACAATTTGATCTAGCCTGTAAACTGGCGTGTCTCTTGTAACTTAGTTATTTGAGAATAAATTATTATTATTATTATTAAACCCTAGGACTCCTAAGAATAAGGACACACATACC